TGATCAATTTGAGGATGACGATGTTCCTCAACTGGTGTCCCTTCCGGTATTCTCTGCTTCAGAGTACAACGGAAGGTCGGTACATCAACACCGCGTTGAGCCATTAAGCCTGCATTAAAAATAACAAGTCAAATCAATACAACTTGATTCCAACTATAAATTAAAAATGAGATGATACATACCCTCCATATCCCAGCGAGGACGCGGGGACTTGAGCACAAGGATTACGTGTCGGGCAGGTAGTTCTTGGGGAAGGGACTTCAACAATTCTAAATCCGACAACTCCCTAGCCGATAACATATCCTCGGGGCATATGTCGTATCGGCGAGGCGCCCAAGTTCAGTGAAAAGGGAAGAGAGGATTATTCTCACTATCAAAAAAATAATTTCTACCTACAGGGTCCACGGTTACCTTGAAGTAACCGGTCTTGAAACCCTTAAAAGACGAAGCATATGGTTTAAACAAAGGCAACTCGGGTTGCCTTATTAGAGACACTCACCTTACTAAGTCAAATGGGCGTGTACAAAAGAGATGAAGAAATAGGCCTACACTAGGTTTTATATAATGAAATTTACAAAGTATCCTAAAGATTTGTATTGTTGCCCACCCGTTTGGGTGTAGTTGTGTCGGCGCTACATTCAAAACCCTCAAAACTCTCATTTGGAAGTCATCAAAGGGTAGCCTAATACTTAACTCTCTAAACATGTATTCGTACATAAAGAAGGTGTCGGCCATTCTGACACCCCCCAGGAAAACAAAGTCAGGGTTCTCAGTTTCGTCCCCTTGGCAGGAATTGAGGTGTATTGGATACGGATCAGACGCCTCCCACAAAGAAATATCATAATTATCTACAAAGAGTTGAAGACTTTTATTTCTTCTAAAACGAGAAAAGTACGTGGCCACTTCACTGTTTACCCACTCATATCCAGATATCGTACAGGGGGAAACACCTGTCTTTCCCTAGGGAGACTAGTACTCGGTAAGGGTTCAGAAGCGTTAGTGTCACTCAAAGCAGACGACTCGGCTTCATTGCTGCATTCCCTAACCTGTGTTTCTTCAGCCCTCTTGTTTGATATGGATGAAACCTCGCTAATCCCCTCAATTCCGTTCATAATGTCTACTTCGACAGTATTCGGTCCCGAAACATCAGATAGAGAATCCTCCCACTCAATAGGTTTGGCCATGAAAGAAAAAGAAGTGAAAAATTAAAACGCACCTTACAAGTAGTTGGTATGGAAGAAAAGCTGAATATCTTTGAACACTCTTCGGCTTGGAGCAACAATGTGCAGGTTTCGGTACAGAGCAAAAGAGCAGAAAATAGATGCAGGGACCACCACATATTTATAGGAGATCTGATGTCGGGAAAACGAAAAGATGCCCCTCCTTTTGAACCGTCAACTCCCTTTCAGATCAACGGATAAGGTTGGGCACCCTTTCATTTCATACACCCGCTGATGAAACCCTAAAAGCCAACATTCTAGAATATTCCTTTACAAATCATTATGTTGCTAAACCGAATACCCTTTGGTGTACACCTGATACACATTCAAGTTTAAATACTACCATCACTCGTCCACTAAAAACTGAATATCTCCCTCAGTATATTCAAATTCACTCTAACTGAATACCCCCCTCGGTATAGTCAAAGACATCTTAACCGACTACCTATTGTAGCCTTAACACTGATATTTAAAGCCCTCGCTTCGTACCTCTTCGGGCTTGGAGGGCTAGTATACTGGATAAAGATCAACTCGGTCCTACTTGTAAGAAAAGGAAACCGAGTACCTATTCGGCATAATAAGCCAGATACCCCTCGTCAGGATTAAAAGGTAATTAACCCAATTAAGGGTAATAATCAAGATATTATTTACTTTAAATAAAGGACTAAAATGAAGACTGGCTCGACAGGCCCATTGGCCCATTACAGTGCCTATATAAAGAAGGTTAAAATACAGGTAAAGAGTTGACTTTTTATTATTAAATAGCTTTTATTACTCAGAACCGAATCCTGACTTCAGTATCGGAGTGCCTTTTGTAGGTACCCTCCTACATCAGCAACGGTTAGAGAAACATCAGTACGTCAGAGTAGAGACTTGAAGACCTGTGTTACCTTAACAGGAACACATCTTGTAATACTTGAAAATCTTCGACAAACCCTTTACATCCAGCTAACATAAATAAATTTCAAATTTGGATTACAAATTGCTAATAGTTTATAGAAACATCATCCTTTTTATTATGATATCTAGGTCTATCTTCCGCAGAAACTGTTACAAGAACATGTGTCCCATCAAGTGCTCCAATATATTCCTATAAATAATGCAAATTCATTAAAAAAAATTAGTTTTCCAAATTTTTTTTATAATTGGCAAATCTAACCTACCAATTGATCAACTTACCTTAAACTATCTCCATTTGTTTGTATCTAAACCTTCTTGGTTATAGGTATGAAACTTCAAATAGTCTTTACTCACTTTCATTATAGCTCTCAAAGACATTATTGAATTTATAACTAAACTGCACAACTTTGTGTTTTAAGTGTGGGCAAGGATATTGAAAAACATCGCCAGAGTTTCAACTATTGGAACATTTCTTGTTCTTACTAATCCACCACTCTCTTTGTAGAATCCTACAAAGCTTGAAAAAATTACTCTTACCCTCAACTGTTCAATTCAATTTTTTGTCTATTGCTTTATAGAGATGATTAAGAAAACTATGCCTCTCTATTTCCTAATTTTGAGCTGATTCCTTAACAAAATACTTGTGAACATTTCTTCTCAATCCACAGTGCTCAAGTGAGTATCACCATGGTTTCAATTAATCCAGCAGCATCAGTAGTCTAAATGCATGCCAAGAACTAACTAATTGTGAACATTCACGATTTAAGAAAGTAGAGATCATCATGACTTAAAACCATTATGCAATTAACTGTTATTTTTTGGTATAACAAAGGACTTTAAACCAGCTTCCAGGGGTAAAAAGGATACACATAGATCATAAGAAAAACAAATTGTAAGCATGAAATAATATAGAAAAACAAATTGTAAGCATGAAATAATATATTAAGTCCATAAAGAGAATTATCGAAATTCACTTTCTGATAGTATGTATTCCAGCCAAACTTTTTAGATTTGCTCAGATTAAGCTTTTATGGAATGATCTGAACTCTGAAGAATGGAAGGCCCAATCCACAGTGAAAATCACAAAAGACTTTTTTAAAAGCCTTTCAGATTTCAATGATTCTGTCAGCCAAAAATACAGAGCAATAATATACAGCGCATATTTTGTAATATCGATAACAAGGGTCGGTGCTTCATAATTTGTAACACAAAATGTGAGATACTATAATGCAGAGCAATAAAGAGAACAGGGGATGTACCTATCCACAGGCCACAGCAACAGAAACAAGTCACTGGATCAGACTTCAAGCTTTTGCCTGAGAGAAAAAAAAGTAAAAATCTATTGAGATGGATGAGAAATCAAACATGAAGAAGATGAGAGAAAATACAGAAAGAAATGAAACCTGGTTCTTACAGGGAAATGATAGAAAATCAAAAGAGAAACCTATATCTAATGGATAGCAGATTGAGAGAGAGAGAGAGAGAGAGAGCCAACGAGAGAGTGAGAGAGCACAAACTAGAGAGTGAAACTTCAACGGTACATCATAAATTCTCACCCTTTCTGCAGAATTTAGAATTTTTTTAATTAAAATTTTTTACTAAAATTCTTAAATTCTTAAAATTAAATATCTAACCAAAATTTTAACCATAAAATTAAAATTTCTCTTAAAGAATAAACTATTCATTTAAAATATCTCATTCAAATACATATTTAAAGTGATTAATTTAATTTTATAAAAAAATTTATTTGAATGATAATTTAAAAAAAAAATTTAGAAATTTCAGTAAAACAACAGAATTTGAAATTCGTTAAACTTACTCATTTTGTCTGAGATTTTCACCTTCTTGTAGTTATTACAAAGTATTGAAAATAACTACTTCAATGCCATCAAAAACCAAAACTTTTTTTTCTTATACCTTGTAATGGACTCTTCAATAATTTTAGAAAATCACTTGATATGTAAAGTTATTTTTAATTTTTTGAATGGAAGTAATTTAATTAATTTATCTAAATAATTTTAGAAAATCACTTGGTTTGATATGTAAAGTTACTTTTAATTATTTTTAAATTTTATAAATTTTTGAACGAAAGTAATTTGATTAATTTTATCTACACAAAAGTTTTTAAAAATAGAGAATTTTAAATGAATGAAATTTAATTACCTTATTCAAACAAATATTTAGAATTGTAAGTAAATTAAAATTAATTACTCAGTTCAAACAAAATATTAGAGTTAATTTCTGAAAGTGATTTTATAACTTTCTAAAATTAAATTTCAAAAGTAATTTAGAAATAACTTCTATAATTAATTTTTTAGAATGTATTAGAACATACTTCTGAAATTAAAATCTAAAAATACAAAACAATAGAAGAATGGTGCAACTAACAAATAGTACAAAATAAAATCTCGTGAAGTTTATGGATTTGTATTGACCTTGACCTAAAAACACAATGAATTTGTATGGATCCCCAAAAGAAATCATTTAATACATATTATTTAGCGTGCAAATGCAGTACAGTTTAATTTCAAACCAGAAATACCAACATTCTTCCCTACTTTAAAATTATAAAATCTACTAGTATTAGAATTTCAAAATTACCAAATGCTTTAAAAAATAATCATAGTTTAGAATCATGACGTATAAACCACTTCTCTTCTTTCAAATTTAATTTTACCTTTGAGTGTACGACACTTCATTGATTCTCCACAAAAATTAAAATTAATTATCTTCAAAATTATAATTATCCACTTCATCACAAGTCCAAAAAGAAATGTATTGCGGCTCCTTTAACTCTTCCATTTTCCAAAGGAATTTCATTATGGAAACTGGGAAAAAAAAGAAGTCATGCTCCTAATCCTGTTCACACTAACAAAGTAAACATTATAGGAAAACAAGTATTACCATCATCAAACTATTACAGGGTGCTTAGAGAAGTATAGACATCAAGTTTCCTGTACGGAAACCATAGCTCCTAATCCTGTTCACTAACAAAGCACCATTATAGGAAAATATGTATAACCATCACCAAATTCTCTCATATTACAGTACAGGGTGCTTAGAGAAGCATAAACTTCAAGTTTCCGGTGCAGAAACCATAGCGCCACGAAGTTCAACTAGTGCCACTGCTTCATTAATTGCATCAATCACTTCTCGCTTTCCACCACTCAAAGCTTCATCCATTGGAGTCCTCTCATGACTGGAAAAGATGCATGATAAAAAAAGATGCATTATAAGAAACTTTGGACACATCTTAAAATTCTTGAGGCTCAGGATAATATAACAAACCTGTTTAAAGCACTAACATTAGCTCCGCTCGTGATTAATTTCTTCACAACCTAGAATGTACTTGCCAGTTAAGGAAAACCATGCATGATCAATGAAATAATAAGGGATACCCTTAGAAGTGTGCAGTATTTACCTCAACATGCCCATTGAGACACGCCCAATGAAGAGGTGTATTTTTCTCCTCATTTTGTGGATTAAGATCCTGTTCACACAACCACGAGCTTTAAATATGTTATGTTCGGATGCTTTCAAGAGAGTTATTTTCCTAATATTTAATTTACCCCCCTCCCCCTCCTCCTTATCCCCAATTTGATTCTCTTTTCTTAATCAAAGCCTCTATTGATACCCTTCTTAATTGGCCAAACCATCTTAAGCAAATTTTCATCATCTTCTTCTCAATAGATTTTGGTCCAACTTCCTTTAGGATACATTCTAAGAACATATAAATATAACTAATTGAAGAATATAATAGTTTATCCCATCCAGAAGTTGATAGGTACTAGTAAACATGATTTTTCATGCAATGTCAAAAACTTGATAAAATGCTGTAGCCACGTGACGTAAAGAAGTGAGCAAATCAGTTAGAGATGGATCCTTCATAAAAATCCAGCTAAAAGCATGACATTTTATAGTTAAAGGAGGATGGATAATATGGATTTTTTAACATTACTATCATTTTGGTTGTTAAAACCATTTGATTTTTCACCCCTGCTGTTGCCTAGGAACTGCCTCATGTACACATCGATGTACAAAGTGGTATAAGTTCAGGGAAATGGGCTGCATAATGCAAATACCTCCTGGTTTTTAACTCAGACAATGATTAGTGTATCGTCATCAAATATAAAGTGATAGCACGGAATTACTCAAAAGGTAAAAGGTGGTAATGGTCAATGAAACAATTTGCTATCAGACAGAATGTATTTAATTTAATTTTAGTGATCAACCGAAAGGCTTATTCAGATCAGAAAGTTAGAAAATCAAACTGACAATATTTGTGAAGAGGCTACTCACCACTCCTTTACTGATTAAATACTCCACAATATCAATATATCCATTAGCTGCAGCCATATGAAGAGCTGGATTCATACATTAGAGGAACAAAGTCAAGTACATATGAAGAAGTATAACGGGTCATAGCTAAACAATTTTCTTTTGCTGCATTAATCATGAGACAAAATTATCTTCTTCAAAAACTTTAATATACCTGGTTGGGGTTCTCAATTCCCTTCCTTCCAAATGAAAATTAACTTATTCAATCAAAATGGCCATATGAAATGGGCACTTTCTTCAATACAAGTTCCTATATCTCATGATCTCATCAATAACAAGCTTTAAAATCCAAACTTTCATCAAAATCTACCTTACCATTTTTTAACATATTAATGCAACCATTCAACATATAATTTTCGCTAGCCGATTGATTAATTCAAGATGTATAAGCATGAAATCAAAGGTTGCGGCCCTTTGATTCACCCTAATTATAACATGAATTTCACACAATCACTGGAATACTATTTTTATTCAGACTGAATCTAACTGGAAAAAAAAAAACTGGTAGACACCAAACTAAATATGCATTCTAACAAACTCCACCTTTACTGTAAAAAACACTACCGAACCTTAAATTCCAGTGAGTTAATTCCATAGTTAACACGAGCTGTAATATATACCTGTTCTTCCTTGTTCATCCTTGGAATCAAGACAAACACCAATACCTGCTAAGCTCTTAACATCATCTAGGACACCAAATCTTGCAGACTGTCAAAACACATCAACATTTCAATACCAACAATAACTAGCTGTCATTTCATCTAATTAATCATTAGCTAAAAATATCACATTTTTTTATTTTAGTTCTTCCAATATCTAAAATGGAATAAAAAATGATAATCTGAGGAATTAAGCGATTTAATATCAACCCCTAGCAGGAGTTCGATGTCATCCGGTGTCGTTGGGGGAGGACCTGTTCGTGTGGTGTTCTCCGCCGCACCCATTTGCAATTGTTACACTCGCCTCGCTGCTCAGTTAGAGCGATCCCAAACAAACAAACAAAATAAAAAAAGTAAAAAACCCTTTGATTAGGGTTAGAACTAAGTATCGCATACTTATAAAAGTAACCCATTTTTTATTTACATTAAAGACTGATTTCTGGAATTTCAACGACGCCGTTTCAACCGAGAGAGCACAGGAGAAGTCCTCGCCAGTTTAACAGTTTTTCATGTGGTGAATGGTAGGCACACATTTATTTAAGATTTAATATAGTTTTCTTTCTTGTATGTATAATAAATTTTTTTATTAAGATTTAATCTTTAAAATATTAAAAGATTAAAATTTAGTTTTTAATTAACGAGTAATTTATAGTTTTCAGATATCAATCTTTTAAAATTAAATGATGTTATATTAATTAAAAAATTATTATTAATATTATTATTATTATTATTATTATTATACCCCTTAGACTATTTTTTTTTTGTTTTTTTTTTAATTTGGTTAGTCGTTGAAAGAAACAACGTTAACATTCATTAAAAGAAAAAAATACAATTACATATTTAAAACTTATTTCAAATAATTAATTTTTAATATATTTATATAAAAATATCTAGATTACTATATTCTTATTGCTATTAAATAAGATTTTACTTATAAAATAAATTAAAAAGTACTGAATAAATCTATATTTAAACTTTTAACGTTGTTTATATATATATATATATATATATATATATATATATATATATTATTTTGATAATTTATGCTTCATTTAATAAAGATTAAATTTTTTATTTTATCACATATATTTCTGTATTTTATAATATATTACTATTAAATTTTTTAAATTAATATATTTTATATTGTTACATCAGTGTATTTTATTCCCTTCAATGTTCATTAATTAGGATAATAATTTAATTGAATTATTTTCTCCTCCTAGGGGATATCCGCCATGAAAATCTCATCTCTCCTTATCTATTTGTATTATGCATGAAAAAATTATCTTACCTTATCAAAGATAAAATCATGAAGAAAGAATGGACCCCTTTCTCCTTTGAATCTCAAGGCTCCAAAGGTTTTCATCTCCTTTGTTGATGACGTGATAGTTGCTAAAGCAAACATCAACAAGGCTAACATTATTAATAAGGGCTTGCTTGAGTTTTGCCTAGCTTTTGGCCTTAAAATTAATTATGGTAAGTCATCTTTATTTTTCTCTAAAAACGCTAATGTGTTTCTTAGTTAGTTTATCAGTTGTTTTTTAAATATTAATCATGTGAATCATTTTGAGAATTATTTTGGTATTCCATTTCTCATCATAAATTTTATAGGAGTCAATTCTCTTTCCTTATTGACAAAATTAGGTAAATATTGTCCTTATGGAAAATGAATTCACTTTCATTAGATGGTAGGATTATTTTACCTCAATCTTGCTTAATGAGTATCTAAACTTAGATATCCCTCTTCTATTTGCAATGAAATAAATAGTATTTGCAAGAAATTTATCTGGGTTCCTTTGGTCAATAAAAAATACTTCCTCTGGTCTTTTTTATAAAAAATAAAATGAAGCATTTTTTTGTCTTTATTATAAAAAATAAATGATAAATTTCTTCAATACTCTTCTTTTATTAGTATAATTAAATATATAAATTACTAATTATACCATTTAATATCGTGGATATTTTTAGAATAAAATTTATATTTATAAAAAACATAACAAAATTAATTGTTTTTTTTAATCTTGGTGATTTAATCTTTCGGTTCTTATAAAAAGGATCAGAGTGAGTACATCTTGTTAGATGACAACACATTTGTAAAGTTAAAACTAAGGGTAGATTGGAGTTTACAGATTTGCATATGTTTGATAAAACTTATTTAATGAAACTTTATTAGAGGTTAAATCACTAATCCATCATATTTGAAGGCTCAAGTCTTGAACCATAAATACAACTTCAGCCTTAGTAATAATTTAGGTATTAAAAAATCCTATAGAGAGTCCCAGCTTTGGAAAAATTCCATGTTGGTCTCACCTTAGTTTTCTCAAGGCTGGGGTTGTTTTGTAAAGGATGAAATTTATAATATTCTTAATTTCTTATGTAATATATAAAAAATAATTCATATTGAAAAAGAAAAATAAGGTAAATTTTTTTTTTATATTTATAACTTAAGTGATAAAAAAAATTCACTTAACTTTCCATTGTTCAAATTTTAAGAAGAACTTAAAGTCATAAATAAATTTAAAGAAATGATTCTAAATTTTTAAATTTATAAATAGAGTAAAGTTGAAATTTACATCTTCATAATTTACTTAATTCTTAAACAAATATAAATTTGGAAAAATAAACAATATTACTTTCCAACATAGTAAGTTTCTATCTAAAATGAATGTAAGTTATGATTAAAATGACTAACTATCAATATTATATGTATACTTTAAATTACCATTTACAATAGAATATTGAAGTATTATAAATTTTAAAATTGACATTAAAATAATTACATAACCTTGTTAACTCAAAATATAAAATTAATAAAAAAAATTACAATTCTTCAAAATAATCTAAACACTGACAGAGTCATCCCTTATTTTTGTCTCACTAAATTTCTTAAAATAATATGATTCTAAATTAGGTCAATCTTCTTCAATTTTCTTTGAAATCTATTTCTTGAAAATAATTAGTAAGGATAAGTATTTCTGTCTCACTAAATCTCTTATTTGATAGAATAGAATGACACAGAAAATACTATCTAACAAAGTATATAATATATTAGTTAATAATAACTCATGAATTATACTAAGAAATTTTACAACAAAGCATATACTAAATCAATTACATTTGTAATATTTATAATATATATTTTTACACCAATCTGTATATCATAATACATGTATTATATCACATCAATCAATATGTCACAATACATATATCCTAATCACACCCGTCAATATATTACAACACATATATTATAACAACTCTAATTAATATGTTACAACACATATATTATAAGCACATACAATTACTACATTATATCACATGCATCACAATTTCACAATTATTGCTTTTAAGATCTCGAGGTCTTCCATAAGTATAAATAGTTGTTGGTTAACTATTACAACATGGATATAACGTAGGCTAACTCGGCTCTTTTTAGCAAAAGTGTGGTAAGAAGTTTATGTCAAGAAATAAGTGTAATGTCTATGGTGCTTTTAATCTAATTGATTGTGTGTAATAAAAAAAAATTCATCATCCTCATTTTTCTCAGATTTTCAAAATCATTTCTTTCTTCCATACTTCCAATATATCTCTGGAACTATTTATACATATTTTCAATAATTCTCATAACATTCACTTTTTCAGCATTTCTCATGACACTTTTTCTGCATTTCTTATGACATTCACTAATAATGTATTTTTCTCTTCATTTCTTTCTCATCATTCGATTAAATAAAACATGTATAAGATTTCACACATACAAACTTAGTCTAATTCACATATACATAATAAAATACATTTAATCATTTAACAATAGTTAGACATTTCTTATTAATCGTTTATATTAATTCTCTTTCTATAATTTTCTTTTATCATAACAGGACTTTAGCCATTTAAAACAAGTATTAACTTTCAAAAAAGATTCAAAATCACTGTAGCATGTCATTCTAATACAAATAAATCATCAATCAATTTTACATTATATAGATCAATAAAATTTGCTAAAGATCAAACACCGTCAGACTTAAACCAACAGTTTAACATACACATTCTATCGGTCTTAATAAAATTGTTTATTCTAAAATTTAGTATTTCTTATTTTCATTCTCCAATGCATATATTATTCACATAAATAATAATCAATAGCTAACTCATAAAATTTCTTAAGACATTGTTTGCTCGTAACTGTTACTATAAAATTCTATTTTAGATGATTCTTAAATTAAACTACATGTTTTTCATGCCAAAAATTTATTTTTTAATATTATATTTTCAAGAAAATACTTTAAATCTATTATTCAAAATAGGGTATTTTGAAATTTTCAAATTAAAATATAAAAATAGGAATTAGGGTATAGATAAACTCCCCTTACCTAGAAATAAATTGTAAAATCACGTTTTCTGTGAGATCTAAAAGAGAGGTACAATAATTTTTATAGAAAGTTTTGTTCTAAAAATTAAGATTTCTCTCGTATTACAAAGTATAAAACTTAAAAAAAAAAAAAAAACTTACTTGAAATCTGTTACAACAAACGTTTAATTTTATAAAAAATAATTATTTAAGATTATACATATTTATATTTATATTAAAAATAGTTATATCATATATAAATATAAATTATAATAAATCTATAATTATTAAAAATAACAAAAATTAGAATGAACTGAGTTTACTAAAATAATTATTAAAATTGGACAGTTGTTCATTTATTTAATTTAAATTTATTATTATTATTTTAATATTTTTTATAAAATGTTAATTTATCCTTTAATTATTATATAGTTAAAAAACTTATAAATAATTCTTAATTAAAATCATAAATGATTAATAAATCATATTAAATTTAATTAAAAAAATGAAAGAAATGTAAATTTTAAATTAACTTTTATTTTATAATATTCTTCAATGTTAATTATATTTGATAATTTTTTATGATAAAATTTAATATAATTTAATAAATAATATTTTTATTCCTTTAAAAAATTTATATTTAAAATATTTTTTTGCTAAATTAAAAAAAAAATGATACGTAGGATGTGAGCTTGAACCATTTTGATAAGTCTATTTTCTAATATATGTCTAATAATGGAATATGTTAAAAATATTGATTATATTATATTACATATTTGAAATTACTATAAAAAATTGCATTAAAAGCTATTTATGAATTTAAATTAATAAATATTTTTAATTTTTAATTTTTAACACGTGTCCTTGGATACATTAAAAAAATTAATTTTATAATTAGGACAAAAACATATTTATAATTATTTCTTATAAATGGAACAAGAGGTATTAATGATTTTTTTAATATTAAGAATGTAGTAATATGTTAAAATATTGAAAGAGTCCCACTAACCTCTCATTTGATGATCACTATTATGAAAAAGATAAAATATAAAAAAATAGTAAAGTAATTCTTAATACTAAGCTAATTAATAATATTTTAAATATTAAAATATCAATTATATTAACCATGTAGTTTCTTTTATGTGTTACTCAATTATTAATTTAAATAAGAAAGAAACATTAATTTTTATAATAATGAATATAAAAAGACATTACATTGTATTTTAATTGATTGATAATGTAAAATTTTATACTATGCCCAAAATTCAAATCATTATATTATATTATATTTATATAATTTCATAAAATATATAAAAAAAGATGAGGATATATGTTCAAAGACAATGTAAGGTGAAACAATTTTAAATACAAATTTTTTAAAGTGTATCTAAAAGCACATTTTAAAAATTTAAAGTAGATTTAGAAAAATAAAAAATATTTATCATCTCAAATTTATAACAAGAATTTAAGATATATTTGTAATTTTCAATTAAAGTATTTAATAAAATATATTTAATACATCTTAACATGTATCCTTGACTCGCATTAGAAAAATTATTTTAAATGATACTATATCCGATTTATTTATAAGAAAAAATACATAATTAATTAAGATTGAAAAGTTTAAACTTTATTTTATAATTATTAGTATTAAATATTTAATATAGTATAGTGAATATTAAATAAATAAATGTATCCGGATGAGTATCTCTTTAATACAAATATTACAATAATCAAATATTTTAAAAACATTTAGCAATTAATATTTATAAAAAATAACCTTTATGTTTTATATTTAGAAAAAAAATATAAACATGATTGAAGGTAGTATATATTAATAAATAATTAATGCAGAAGATTTTAATTTTTTGAAGTTTATGCAACGCATGAATCTTTAGAAAAAGAAATATTTTAATACAAGAATTTTATCGAAACATTAGATATACATATATGTACACACTTAAATGGGTACTCCTATATATAATCAGAGCTATTTTTGACTTTTTTGAGACCCTAGGCAAAATAGAAAATTAGAGCCCTTTAAAAAATTTATAAAATATAATAAACAAAATAAAAGCATATATTAATAATTTTATTAAAATAATACATTTTTTAAGTGGCTATAATTTTTTCTAATAAAATTATAAAAAAATATTTTTTATTCAAATAACTTCTATGTTATAATTAACTATAAAAATACAAAAAATCATAAAAAAATGGGTTCTATAAGTATTTTGAGATGCAAAATATTAATGATAACATTAATATTAATATTTTTTTAAAAAATTCTTTATTGATTGATAAAATTGCGAGACCATTCAACGGTTCTTCTGACATTGATGACTTTAGGTAGGTTTTGATTAACTTTAACTCTAAAAAATTTCTTTCAGTTGATGATATAATCTCTAGGACCGTAAAATAAATTCTATAAGTGATTAAAATATTTAGATAATAATCTGCAAATTTGACAAACTCAATAATTGTTTAATTTTTTGGAGAAAATAAAATTCTCCATGAGCATTAATGTTAAGAATAGTAAAATTTTGGAATTAAATGAAGTTTTGAGTTTATAGAAGTCAATGAGTCGAACGTCATAGCAAGTGAGATGCAAAAAATTAAAAGGTCTTTTTTATTTTTTTTAATTGCAAACTATAAGAACTGAAATTCTTTTTCAAGTGAAAGTATGATACGATTTTTACTTTGGACCCTCTTTTAAGCTTGGGCCCTAAGCGATTGCACCTCTAAACTATCCTTCAAATCGGGTCTGCATATAATATATCATTGAGTCCCATCATTTGACAACCAACAATGGCACCGCCTACTTCTACTCTCATCTATTTCTCCTGTGTTTATTTCATCCTTGCATGCATATTATCTCTATCATGTGACGCTGTTGATGAAATTCCAAAACTTCATATTGTATATATGGGCTCGCTCCCTAAGAGTCCATACTCTCCAACCTCTCATCATATAAATATGCTTCAGCAAGTTGTTGATGATGAAATCAAAGCAACAAATTCCATAATCCATAGTTACAAGAGAAGTTTCAATGGATTTGCTGCAATGCTAACTGATCAACAAAGGGAAAAACTAAGTCAAATGGAAGGTGTGGTCTCAGTTTTCCCAAGCAGAACTCTTCAACTCCACACAACAAGGTCTTGGGACTTCATTGGAATTCCTCAATCAACCAAACAAAGCCAAATAGCTGAGAGTGATTCAGTTATTGGTGTGCTTGACACTGGAATCTGGCCAGAATCAGAGAGTTTTAGTGATAAAGGTTTTGGTCCCATTCCCAAGAAATGGAAAGGGACTTGTGCTGGTGGCAAGAACTTCACTTGCAACAAGAAGATCATTGGAGCAAGGTTTTATATAGATGATTCTGCAAGAGACACATATGGCCATGGAACCCACACAGCATCAACAGCAGCCGGAAACAATGTTCACAATGTGAGCCTTTATGGAATTGCACAAGGCATTGCAAGAGGGGGTGTTCCATTGGCAAGAGTTGCTGCATATAAAGTATGTAATGAGATCGGTTGTCGAGTTGCTGATGTCTTGGCAGCTTTTGATGATGCTATAGCTGATGGTGTTGACATCATTTCCATTTCAATAGGAGGGTTTTTTGCACTTAATTTTGATGTAGATGGTATTGCAATTGGTTCCTTTCATGCCATGGCAAAAGGGGTACTCACTGTGCATTCTGCAGGCAATAAAGGCCCTAATATTGGAGGCATTCAAAGTGTAGCACCATGGATACTATCTGTTGGAGCAAGCACCATCGATCGCCAATTCATTAGCAAGGTAATTCTTGGAAATGGGAAAACGCTAACAGGAAAATCCATTAATACTGTGATGTCAAATGGAACAAAATCACCAATTGCTAAACAAAATGGTGGTTCAAAAAAGTGTGAAAAATTAACAGCTTATGACTGTAATTGTTTAGATAGTGATTTGGTGAAAGGAAAAGTAGTTCTATGCGGCAATAACACTAACGGAGCCTTTGTAGCTTATGCTAAAGGGGCATTTGGTGCAATCATTAAGTTGTCTAGTGAAAATGATATAGTCTTTGTTACTCCAGTACCTTCTGTAGGATTGAATTCCCATGATTATGCTCTTGTGAAGTCCTACAAAAGTTCAACAAGAGATCCAAAACTTGAAATACTAAAGGGTGAGACAATTGTAGACCACACTGCCCCTATTATGGCTGATTTTTCTTCTCGTGGACCAAATGCCATAGTTCCTGAAATCCTTAAGCCTGATGTCACGGCCCCAGGAGTTGAAATATTGGCTGCATACTCACCAATTGCTTCAGCTTCATACTCAAGTATAGGTACTCTCAAGGACAATAGATCTGTGCAATATAACATACTATCTGGAACATCTATGTCATGTCCTCATGTTGCTGGAATAGCTGCATATTTGAAAACATTTCACTTGGATTGGTCACCAGCAGCTATCAAATCAGCAATTATGACTTCAGCACAACCCTTGAATGGTACTAAGGATCATGTTGGTGAATTTGCTTACGGTTCAGGACATGTCAATCCTATTCAAGCTGTTAATCCAGGACTTGTTTATGACATTGGTAAGGAGGATTATATACTAATGTTATGCAACTTGGGTTATATCAGTAAAAGAATAAAAGCTATTTCTGGTGAAAATTTCGCTTGCCCTGGTGCCCCTGATGCATCCTTGGTAAGAAATCTGAATTATCCTGCACTTGGAGTGAAAGTTAAGCCTTTGGAACCTTTCAATGTTAGACTTACTAGAACAGTCACAAATGTTGGGTTACCTAACTCAATTTACAAGGCAATTATCATACAAAAACCACAAATTAACATCACAGTGGCACCAGAGATTCTGTCTTTCAAATCATTGAATGAGAAGCAGACATTTGTTGTTACAATCACTGGTAAGATACCAAATCAAACTGTGATCACCTCATCATTGGTATGGTCTGATGGTACCCACAATGTGCGAAGTCCAATTGTTGTAAGTGATTATCCTAGAAAACAATAACCAATGATTAAAAGTCTAATAAAAGTATTGGCTTTTGCCCATAATTTCTAATGTATTGCAATTTATCAATTTTAAGACAAGTTGGGGCCAATTAAATTTATATTAGCAAGTTTTCTTTTCAATGGATCGTTATGAAATAATTTGAATGATTTGGATTCGTATATGTAGATTATCAAATTGATGAGGAGATCAAATAATGACAAATACATTGTTCACCACATGATTAAGATAAAATCTTAAGATGACGGATGAATTAATCTATGTTCTTCTAAAACACAGCTATTTTTATCATGATGGAGAGCTGTGGTGTGCCTAAAAAAAAAAAAACTATAGTTTAGTATGTTACGTTGAGAAGTGTAATTTCCTCTCCTTATTTATGCTTTGAAGTTCTATATGATGGCAATCCTACTAATAGATGTACATATCTAGTAAAGTTCTTCGCAATACTTTAAAAAAAAAATTTCAAATTTAGTTGTCACATAGCATTTTTTCTGTATTTTTTTTAAAAAATTTATTACATCATTTATTTTGCTTTCACTAAGATTTTTTTACTTTTCATTTTTTGACCTTTCCCGATTTTATGATTATTTAAAAATATTCAAAAAATAAAAATGAAAATATTTATGTAATAAATTAGTATTGCATGTATTATTCCTAAATATCTTCAACAAAAAATATTAGTTTTATATAATAAATTTTATTACATACATGTATTTTTAGTTTTTAAAAAGAAAAAACTCTTTTCAAAATTGCATACAAAATGCTTTGTGTTTTTTTTTTTTTTTTTGTCTTTTTTCTTATTCTCTAAACTGTAGAGTTTTGTGCAATCATTTGGTGCAATCATGCATGTTATACATATTTTAATAAACAATATGATCAAATTTTATTTTATTTTTATTTCAATCCTAAAAATTTTATAATTATTACTTATTTCTATTTACTATTGTGTTGCAAAATAAAGCAATAATTTAGAAAATATGCAAGAGGAGTATTTGTTTGATATTTTTTATGATTATAAATTTAGGAAAATATTTTTTGAACTTTATATGAGACATGACAAAAAAAATTTCCCTTTTAATCTTGGAATATATTTTGAAAATGTGTATCTAAGAAAATAAAAAATAAATAAAGGATAGAAATAATTTATATAACATTATCTATGACATCAATTTTTTAATATTTAAATAATAAAACCAATAACCTTTTATACAATATAGTTTGAATAGAAAATTAATGTACATGACATCGAATATGATTTGTAAAAAGTAAGACAATACATATGCATGTGCCCTCCAAAATTATGTTTTTCCTTTGAAAATTGGCTCATGGTAAATTGCTTACTAATGAGGAAAGATATTATAGGCATATGACTGATTTTTCCTTACGTTCTAAGTGTAGAGAAGCTCTCAAATCCATCATGCATGTGCTCAGAGATTATTTTTTTGCTAAGCAAGTTTGGGAGCATTTTTTTTTCCTCACCAATAGGTCCAATTTCATAGCTTGAGGATTACAAACTGGTTGCTTCTAAATTTGACTAATTTTAGGATTAGCAAATTTTTTGACTGGACTAGTCTATTTGGTACAATTATTTGGCATTTATGCAAAGATAGAAATTCGTTTATTTTCCAACGTCTTTCTTCTTCTCCTAATAAGATCATTTATAAAATTTTGTGTGATTTTGATTTTTGGTTAAATTGTCACAAGGGAGTGATCAAACTTCTAGCTAGAGTTGCTAAGGACCAAGTGCGTGTTAAATGGATTCCTCTCCTGCCAGTTGAAGCTCAACATGAATGGGGTTGTTTTTTTACATTCTGATGACACTGCTTGTGGGGGTGATTCCTGACAGTAGTGGCAAATTCATATGTGGTTTTTGCAGCAAATTAAATAGATGTACTCCTCTTGTTGCTGAGCTTTGGAGTCTATTTTTGGGGCTTCAATTACCTTCTTTGAAAGATATTCATTCTATATGGGTGGAAAGTGATTCTAAAGCAACCTTGTCTCTAATTTTACATGTTCAACATCCTAATGATCCTCTAATTGGATTGATTAATAACATTAGAGATCTTCTCAAACCAATTAGATTAATTAGATTTGCCCATATTTTTAGGGAAGCTAACTCTGATGCCGATAGATTAGCCAAACTAGGCCTTTAAAATTCTTTACCTTTGTCTTATTTTGATATTTCTCCTCGTGTTGCGTCCTTTTCTTTGTTTAGATGCTTGTGAGAGCTAGACTAGTAGGGCCTTTTCCTAATCTGTTTTATTTTTTGGGCTATTAGCCCTGATGTTTAGCAAAAAAAAAAAAAGTAAGACAATACAGAACTGTAGTCCACATGGACTTCATGCGATCCCATTGATAATTGCTGACGTTTGCTATTATAGATATTTTTAGCATTTAATATCTTAACAATTTAAAAGTAGAATTTTAAAAAATATTCATTATCTCAAATTTATAACAAGCATTTAATATATATTTTTCATGCTAAGTTAAAATATTTAATAAGATATCAGCAAAAAAGAAGTATTTAATAAGATATATTTAATGCTTCTTAACAAATGTCCTTAACACACATTCAAAAAATCATTTTACATAATATTATTTCTAATTTTATTTATAATAAATATTTATAGTATTAAATAGTTAAATTGGTGCAGTGTATATTAAATGAATGTATCCATCTTTATGGTAAAGGAAGAGTACCTCATTAATATAAATCTTATAATAATTAAAGACATAGAAAGAACTTAATAATTAATATATATATATATATATATATATATATATATATATATAAAATAGTCTTAGATAAAAAAATTGATATAAATATGATTGAAGATAGTATATATTAATAATTAGTTAATATAGACAATAAATTAGTATTTTATTTTTTCTAATGTGTGTCAAATAGCACACAACAAAAATTTATGTATGATAAAATTTTATTAAAAATCATAAAACATAATTAGATCTAATATATTAATAACTTGAAATGTTTCAATTTTTAATATAAATTTGCTATTTATTGATTTCTCAATTTGTATCCTTCGAATACATATTAAAAAATATTAATATTTTTATCATCTATTTCAATATTTATAATATCAAATAATAAAAGCTCATTTTAATTATAATTATTAGAATAGTAAAAGATAAAGAAAATAATTACTAATAAAGAGAGACGAATGACAGAATATTACAATGTGTTTATATTTCTTTAAAACATAGTTATTCTTAAAATTATGTATCTGCTAATTAATATTTTTATTTTTTAAATTAAGAATATTGATATTTAATAATATATTTTAAATATTTTAGTAAAAAATTCATTAATATTCTATTACATATTGTTTTTAAGATTTTGATTCGTTTTAAGTTTATGCAATGCATGAATCTTAGAAAAAGAAATATTTTAAAACACGAGTTTTATGGAAATATAAGATAAACAAACATATATGCACACATCTAAATGGGCACTCCTATATACAATGTAACATTCAGATCCATCATTTGACAACCAACAATAGCCACGCCTAATTCTACTCTCATCTATTTTGTTAGTCAAAATTGGATGGCTCAATTTTTTATTTGGTAGGCACCGTCGCTCAATTTTTCATTTGGTAGGCACCGTCATCTCATTAGTTACTGTAGCAACATTGAAAAATTAACAAATTACTGTAGCAAATTTTTCCTATAAAAGGCAATGAAGCAACGGAGGTTTGATACAATTATTCACGGATCAATTAACACTGAGAGAAAATTGAAAAGTGTTATTTTGTAGTTCTTATTCCATTTTAAGAGAGTATTTATTGAGAAAAAAAATAGAGAAATTTATTACTCTTTGTCCTCATAATTTTAGAGGACTTCTTGTACTCTCCCTTTTACATAGTAGAATTATTTTGCTCGTCGTTGCCCGTGGGTTTTTTTTTCCGATTTGGAGTTTTTCCCACGTTAAAATCTTGTCTCCATTATTCTCTTCCTTCTCTTTATTTCCAATTAAATTTGAGCTGTTATTTAATTAGAAATGTCTACCGTTACAAAATTTGACATTGAGAAGTTTGATGGCAAGATTAGCTTTTCTATTTGGAAAGTCCAAATGAGAGCCGTTCTCACTCAGAACGGATTAAAAAAAGCTTTAGATGAAAAGTTAAAAAAATCGGCTTCCATGACCGATGAGCAATGGGACGAGTTGGATGAAAAGGCGCTTTCAGCAATCCAACTTTGTTTGTCCAAGGAGGTTTTATGTGAAGTGGCTGACGTAACCACTGCTGCAGAATTGTGGTTAAGGTTGGAAACTTTGTATATGACTAAAAGCCTCGCCAACAAGCTTTGTTTCAAGGAGCGATTATATACGTTCCGTATAATAGAAGGTACCCCCATTCAATCTCATCTTGATGAGTTTAATTCTATTATTATGGATCTGCAAAATATCGATATTAAAATTGATGATGAAGATAAAGTTGTTTTGTTGGTTGTCTCTTTACCTTCTACCTACAAACACTTCAAAGAAATTATGTTGTATGGTAATAATGACACCTTATCCTTTGAAGATGTTAAATCTAATTTATTGTCCAAAGAAAAATTTGATCTTGAAATCCATTCTGAGGACAAGGGTGAGGGTCTAAGTGTTAGAGGTAGAACTCAAGTAAAAAGGAGTACTAGTCACAAAAAGAGTAGATCTAAATCTAGGGGACGAAAATCCAGCACTACCTGTCGTTATTGCAAAAAATATGGGCATGACATTTCTGATTGTTTTATCTTAAAGAAAAAAGAAGAAAATAAACAAAAGAAAGAAAAAGGTAAACAACCTGTTGAAGCTGCTAATATTGATACTGATTCTGATGCAGATGTTATGGCATCTGTTGTCTCTTCTGACAAAAGAAGCAAAAATAAGTGGCTTCTTGACTCTGCATGCACATACTACATGTGTGCTTATAGGGATTTATTTACCACTTTTGAACCAGTTAATGGTGGTATTGTCTTGATGGCTAATGATACCCAAT